TATATATATATATATATATATAGATAGATAGTTATTGCGTGTGCATTTATACAGGGGTGTCTGATAATTACGATATAACGATAAAAATTAGCATAGCGGTAGAATGGATTAAATCGAGTAGAAAAGTCTAACTTTTTGTAATTTTCGTAATAGTTAACAAGTTATTAATTTATGAAAATGACTAAATTCGCCTACTGCAACCTATCGCCAAGTGCAAACACGCGCCGAGATAGGAGATAGGATTGCCCAGCGAGGCACGTGTTCGCCGTTGCTAGGTACGAGGTCCCAATGTCGCTTATATACAATGTGCCTAGTAACGGCGCACGCGTTTTATGAGCGGTCTTATCTCGCCTTTATATTTGGCGGTAGAATTTGGGCGAATTTGACTATTTTCATAAATTAATAACTTGTTAACTCGCAAAAATTGCAAAATGATAGAAGACTTTTCTTTTGGTTTAATTCATTCGTCCTTGTGCGAGAGTTTTATCATTAATTGTCAGACTAATTATGTATAGATGAAATTATAATGGAGATAATAATGAAAGTACTAAACATTTTTCTTTACATTTTTCTCAATTAAAAATTAAATTTGATTTATTCTGTTTTAAAAGAAACAAATTATATTATTTCTTTACGAAATTGCTTTGTTAAATAAATGCTGTCGGAACTTCCATGTATAAAAAAAAGGCATTCTAACATGTTTGACGGGAGTCATTTAACTACGTTGCGACTCACCTCAGATTCATATCGTATGCTTCAATAACATTCTTGGCGAAAAAATTTTTACGAAAAAAATAGATTAACAAGATCTTAGAAAGTTCTTTGTTTTTCATAGATCTTAGAAAGTTCTTTGTTTTTCATAGATATTCATAGTGGGACGTAGAATGTGTCATTTGTTTGAAAAATCAAGAAATCTTCCGTCTTCAAACAACGCCATTCTACGTCCCATTACAAATATTTACGAAAAATTAAGAATTTCTAAGATCTTGTTTTAATTTATTTAGTTTTTCTGTAATTTTTTGTAAAAATTTTTTTTCCATCAGGGATGCTTCTACATATTTTTATAAATAGACTGCCGACCAAGCTAGAGCTTATAGTAATGGAAGGGAAATCCTATCCAAACAATGAGTGGAAAGTATGAGCAAAACTGAGAGATGGAAGATGTACATATATTTTTGTTCTCAGTAATTTTTCTTCTTTCTGCGCATATCAAAAGAAGATAGAAGAGGATAGAAAGATTTCATTTCTGTCTTTTAGATCTTGCTTACAGCTCGACGTTTCATCATTATAAGTTCTATGTGTTCTTCACAGTTGTCAGATAATTAGGTTATATTTTCAGTCTTGTTGGCATACTGAAATTTAATCGACCGATTAGTTTAATCGGAGTTGGTGAGATTGGGTCATTGAGTTATGACATTTTTTATTGACAAAACTAGTACGTACTCAGTGCACATTAAAGCTATTGTATTATTCTAATCTAAATATAAAAATGAAATATCTCAATTGATAAGATGCTGTTCCGTAAAAATTTTCTCTATCTGTTCTATGCAGTCGGAAAAATATTAAGCAAATTAGCTTACAATCGAGGCGATATTCCGTCCGTTTTCATTCTGTTCCGGCTACATGGGACGAATAGAGAAACTTTTTTCGGAATTATAGTAATCTCAAAATTTCTAGTAACGAAATCTGTTCCGATTTCGCATACATGGAACGGCATCCTAAGGATGCTCTCTCATGACTATCAGAACGAAATCCATAGACGTTGCTCAAGATTCGAGATGATCTTAAGCTAGTACATGAACCAATCACAGAGCTACATTAGCATCTTAAAACAATGGATGCATTAAGTTATCAGTATTATAACCGCTATGAGCGCTCAGTGAGCTCTTGCTAATTGGCATATTTCGTTAGAACTAAAAATATATAGACCAAACAGATACAAGGGTTGATATTTATAGTCAGATCTTATATTCAAAATCGATTTAAGACGATACAAACAATTAGGGTTATGTTCCAAAACTTTCTCTCTGAGGAAAACTTTACTCAAAATGAATAGTATGTAACATATACTATAGCATAGAGTAAAATATTCCTCGGAGAGGAAGTTTTTGAAGCCCAAAAGCCCAATGACATATTAGCATGTTATAATATGTTAAGATATTACTTAAGACAATCTTAAAAGAACGGATTATGAATATCGCCCAAGAACTTACTGAGTACTCAGTGAATGGTCGTAGTACTGAGTGCACCCATTGCTTGAGATTAAGAACTGCACTATTTTGGTCTCGGAAAAGTAATAGAGAAGGAATCAACCAATCAGAATTATTGGGATGCATTACTATTCATCTGCACATATACATTAAATACAAGATTATCGAAATTGAACTTCTATATGTATAAAAAGAATTCATTATTAATAAATAATTGTGATAAGTATTCAATAATATATAAATATTCATTTTTCTAGTTAAATATAACTATTTATATTGTTGAGGATAAAATTGCGTGCTTATTAGTTTGAAATTTTTGTGTGGAGTTTTGTGGTCCTCCTAGATCAATATTTCCGAAAAATGTAAAAATTAGAAAATTTATTTTAAATATTTTATAAAAATAGATAATTATTATGAGTAGAAGAATCCGCAAAAAAATAAAAT